TTACTTACTTACTTACTTACTAAACATATACATATGTATATATAGATAGATAGATAGAAATACTTTATTTATCCCCGAAGGAAAATGATAGTAATAGTATATATAAATGTGCAATAAAGTATGAAATAATATATAAAAAAAGTAAGACAAATGACCAAACAAACAAATATATCTTAATGACAACTAGGGTAAACACATTACATTGGTATTCTTGCCGCCCCGTGCTGCTGTTAGCCAGCCGGGGCGGCAGGGGGCGCACTTTATTTCTGGCGAAGCACCAACTGACCCCTGCCCTGTTGCCGTCATCCGTCCCTGACGAGCCTCACGTTTCCCCACTGTGACCTCAGACTGAGCCTCCTAGCTTTATCTTTAATGAAAACCGGTGGGAAATAACCAGAAAAGCACCAAACCGACTGTCGGCTCCACGGCTGTTTCCTAGCAACGTAGCGTCACACACCGCGGGTCCAACCGGACGCAGAGCAGCGGGCGAGCAGGAGACATGGCCGCAATCGAGGAGCTTTCCCCAGCTGCGGGCCCGGTGTCTACCCGGCCCCCCGAGGACGAGATTGACGACGATGAAGATGAGGATGTAAGTGGCTACTCATTCTGGGGTACTTCTTAAATGTGACTGAGAAGATAAAACAGAGTCACGCCTCCTTGTTCCGAGTTTGTTCGTCTCTCGGCTCAACGTGGCTAACGTTAGCATGGCTGCACCAACGCTAGACAGGTGGCTTTGATGGACCCGGTCTGAGGCTGTGCTCTGTTGCATGTATAAACGAAGTGTTATTTAATGTAACCCAGCAGTTGATATCACTACTACGTTATTAAAGTAGCAATATAGTGTCTCACTGTGTTAACGCCAGCTGTTACAACTTCAGGATGGACCAAATTTATGAACGAAAAGAGGTTTGGGAAGATAAACCCTTGAGATGAACCATCTCCTGAATGTGTGTTTGTTGTCTTTGGTATGTTTTTTTTCACGCGAGGTGCTGATTTCTTGATTGATTTCTTAGTCACAGTCTTTTTCTGCACTAAAAGGTTATGTCCAATGTTTGTATTTGTGTCTTTAAGCTGGATGAGACGTTGATGGAGAGGTTGTGGGGCCTGACAGAGATGTTTCCTGACACAGTTCGCACCGCTGCTGAGGTGTCTGCACAATGCTCCGTCTCCCTGGCCAAGAAGTTTTACAGGTAAGGTCTCTTCAGCGTTTTAATCTATCTATCTTAACCTATACGTTGCTTGAGTTTATACAGTGTGCTACGGTAGTCTCAGTAGAAAAAGAGATTAACTACTAATGTGTAGGTTTTATCCCGGGAGCAGCTGTTAATCCTGTCTTTTGGTTTTTTTTTTTTTTTCTTGAGCTCGACTCAGATCTTCTAAATTGGCCACACCTTTTAAAACAGCAGGAACTAATCGGGATGTTAACTCGTTTCAGTTTTTCCCGCTCGGCGCTCTGGGTGGGTACTACCTCCTTCATGATCCTGGTGCTGCCTGTTGTGTTTGAGACAGAAAGACTACAGCTGGAGCAGCAGCAGCTACAACAGCAGAGACAGGTGGGTGTTCATGTGCGGAGAGCAGCAGCTGAAAGAGCAGAGTCTCTGGAGGCATTTCAGGCGTGAAAGCAAGTATTGACTGAGGAGGAGTGAATGCAGTATGAAGATAAAAATGTGCTGTACATGACAAATGCTTTGATGAACTACCTGAACGATGGACTATTTCCCTTTCAGATCCTGTTGGGGCCTAATACTGGAATGTCCGGCGGGATGCCCGGAATGATGCCTCCTGCACCTGGCAAGATGTGAGAGACAGGAAGAGCCAACGTGAACCTGAGATCTGCTGCAAGAGATACAGCGCAGCCGGTCGCAAGGAGAGACAGAGAGACCACGGAGAAGGGCAGAGAACTGCAGTTAAAAGAAAAAAAAATAAGCAATCGCTGTACGTCAACGGCACGACATTAGGCTAACTCCAACGTATTGGATTGGCTAATAGGGAGTGGAGGAAGAGGATGTGATGCGTTTCTAACACTTCTCTCTCACTGTCTCTCCTTACTCCAACATCATGCAGAGACTTATTTGCAGGAGCACTGCTTCTCTTTTCTGTTTCTTTTTTTAAAAACAAATCATTATATTAACATTAATAATGTGTTCTTTAGGGGGATAGAAGGTACAGGTGCATAACTTGGAAGAAAATAAATCTGGAGGTTACCAATTGTATTTCTTGGTGTTTGCAGTCTGAAAAACGTTGATATGCTTGCAGTATGTTGGCAGTTTTGTCCATCATCGTGTGTTTGCTGGTTCCACTTCTGTGTGGAGAATTATGTGAACCAAATATCTGACAGACAGGTCGGATGCATTGTGGAGCATACTGTGTAGACAATGTTAACTGATAGGAATGTGGTCTACAGAATGGCTTCTGTCGACTCTAATCACAGGTCACCATTGTACTATGGATGTATGTCATGGTGCTTGTCACAGTTATTGGATTTATTACACTTCTCTGGTTTAAAACCGTAGCTTGTATAATGCAGCAGCACTAGATTCCATGCTGTTCAATCATTCAAAGATTGTTCTGTCCTTTTCCATCGAAGGTACAGTCGGTGAAATGCACAATGATTTTCTCATTTAGAAACATGTCAGAAGTTCTTGGACAAACGTGGTTCACAAAGTTTTAATGCGAAATGTCTCAATATTATGTGACATGTCCTGTTTTAAGAGAATATTCTTTTCTCTGTTATTGATGTGACAATTTATAACGAAAACCCATGTCTCTGTTTTGTGTTCAACGTGACTGCAGTAATTAAAACACCAAATCAAATGGAAAGTGTTTACTTTCAGAATGTTTGCTGTGCATGTGCTCAAATGTTATAAACTGCCCATAAAGCATTAAGCATTAATTAAGATTAGACTAAAATGAATATATTATTGTAGATACTAACAAGTAAGCAGTTAGTAAAGTAGTGTAGTGAGTGTAGATTAGGGTTTAATGTTTTAAATTTATCATATTTTTGAGAAATGGAAAATAAATGTTGTCATGTCTTAAATTAGCTATTAGACTGTCTTAAACACCCTTTTCACGGTAGACATTTTGAGTTGTCATAGCAGGAAAAGCACAGGTGCAACTAATAATATTAATAATTACCTGAGAGCTGGAAGTACCTAAAACTGTAGCCTAATTAATGTCATTACCTGTGACATGTCTGCAGTGAAAAAGCTCCATTATTGTAGTATTGAATGTTTAACTTTTAATTATTGTGTCGTGTGGAGTACAAGACACCACAAATGAATATAAACCACATCCAGAATGCAAAACATACATTTTCATACAATATTACAATGAGTTCAGAAAATAAAGATTATCCATACATACATACAATTTTTTTTAACGCCATTGTCCAATGCTGCATTCACTGCTCTTTTTCAGCTCCTGGTCCGGAGGGTTTTAAAATGAATGTGCTCCCTTTGGCTCCTAGCAGTAAAAGAACAAACCTGCTATAAATCACTTTAGGGAGTTGTTTATGTTCACCAAGTGCGACCGCCGGGACTTAAAACCAATAATTATTAACAAGTGTTGTTTCAGTCATGTTTATGCTATGATACATCAATGGTTTATCTTCGGCCAACTGATGAAGTTAATATTTCCGACTGCACTTGAAGAGGACAAAAATCACGAATTCCCGCCAGTTGGCGCGCGCAAGGCACTTCAAGAACAAAGCACTTTTTAACTTAGAGGTAAAGTTGTATTGTTTTAGTCAATATCTCAAGATTTTTCTCATTTGCTAGTTTAACTAACTCAACAAGCAGATGTTGTAGTTTTAATAGTTTTATTGGTCGTCTTGTTTATGTTGCAAACCAGGATAAAGCTAATAATGTTAATGCTAAATCTTTAATTAAAACCTTATGCTAACTAACTGCTAACCTTGGCTAAAGACCCTTGTTGCTGACTGACAGGAGCTAAAATCCATTTTATCTTCAGCATTTAACCCGTGCTACAATGAAAATGAAAGCGGCAGAGGATCAGGTTGTTCAAGATGATTCTGGTTTCCAGGATGACGAGGTGAGATATTACTTATTTAGTTTATGCTAAACATTTCAGTTAATCTTTGCTAATTTACAATGCCCTTTAGTGACTGAAAACCCCCCACAAACGTAATGTTAAGTTGCTATCAATGTCAATAATGTGCCCAGATTACAATTTGTCCATAACATGTTAAAATACCAATTTAGGTACAAACATTGTGTAACAATAGTGTTACAGTCTTATGATTTATTATAAAGTTATGCTACAGATTTCTTACAGGTAAAAGCTGTATTCTTGTCTTCAATAATCAAGTTTGGTTCTCAGCGACTATCTCATGTAGATTTTCTTTTCCCTCATCCTAACAGGAGAGCTTCTTCCAAGACATTGACCTGCTACAGAAACACGGGATTGTGAGTAAACAGCACGGCTGCACAACATTTGACGTGCAGTTTAGTTGATGTTTAAATCACAAATGTACTGTATCCCATTAGATCAAAAGTCTGTCTATGTGTGTGCATCTCTCTGTCCCTCCCCACCTGTGAACACAGAATGTGGCAGACATCAAAAAGATGAAGTCAGTGGGTATCTGCACTGTGAAAGGGATCCAGATGACTACTCGCAAGGCTTTGTGCAACATCAAGGGCCTGTCAGAGGCAAAAGTGGAAAAAATCAAGGAGGCTGCTGGGAAAATGCTGGTAAAATGGGATTTTGTACTGTGAACTTGCTGTACTATTTCATTCTCTTTGGCCTTAAAACAGAATTACTTGAGAAATAGGATTAAAGAAACAACTGACAGAACAGTTTATGTATTAGATAATCTTCTTTGCATTGTAGAACGTGGGTTTCCAGACCGCCTTCGAGTACAGTGCGAAGAGGAAGCAGGTGTTCCACATCACAACTGGGAGCCAGGAGTTTGAGTTGAGATTCATTCTTCACATTGATAACATGTAGACTGTGGGATTTACACTACTGAACCTATCACAACAGTTTGTATTTCGTGCATTTACAATTACATATACCATATGCTCAACTGTATGAGTCAGTATGGTAGACTCTGGGAGTTTAGTTGTTTTAATATTAATTAATTGATATATATATATATTTTTTAAAGTTGGCACCAAAATTAAATGAACAGTGAATGCCTCAGCTTTCTAGATTAATTAATTCACATTACTAATGATTTTTTGTTCAAGCACTAGTGGTCATACCTAAAGTATTGTCACTTTATCGATATCAAGGAGCCAATTATTCAGCCTTACATGATATACTGACACTTATACCTGACAAACTATTGTTTGGAAGTTAAGTTTTACTGTAAAATCAGTTTGGCTGGGGAAATTGTAATGTGACTAGCAAACATTAAGATTACCCAGTGGATACTGTGACTAGTAAACCAATATTCCTAATTCATAGCACAGATGTTACAACATATATCTTGTATCTCTGCAGTAAACTTTTGGGTGGAGGTATAGAGAGTATGGCTATCACTGAGGCCTTCGGAGGTAAGCAGATGTCTTCTTATGATTAAATAAATTGTGTGTGATTAGATTGTTAAAATGTCACTCAGTTTGCAGCACTGGCTCAAAACTTTTCATCTTTTCATCTTACAGAGTTCCGCACAGGGAAAACCCAGCTGTCTCACACACTCTGTGGTGAGTAAGGAGCCTTTTAAAAATGGCTGCTCTAAAATGTATTGATAAAACAAAACTGTACAAGTCAAATAACTTGAATAAAACAGATTCTGTGTTGTTTTTGTCCAGTCACTGCCCAGCTGCCAGGCGAGGACGGATACTCAGGCGGGAAAATCATCTTCATTGACACAGAGAACACCTTGTATCCTCACAATGATGAACAACTATACAACATTTGATGTTTAGATCGCAACTTTACTGAAGTATCATGTGTTTGTGTGACATTTCTTCACTAGATGTCATAATGTGACCATACAATGACTGTAAATGTGTGTTTGAGGATGTTTTTTTCTTCTGTTTCACATTATCCTTGACTCGTACCTGTCTGGTTCCAGTCGTCCAGACAGACTGAGAGACATGGCTGACAGGTTTAATGTGGACCACGATGCTGTGCTGGACAATGTGCTTTACGCCCGGGCCTATACCAGTGCGGACATACATTTAATTTAGACCAGCGCACACATTTGTAGTGTGCAAAGGCAGAGCAGTTTGTATTGAAACATTATCTCCTGACAAGGTTATTATAACATCTTGGTGTTGCTCGCTCCTCAGGTGAACACCAGATGGAGCTGTTAGACTTTGTAGCAGCCAAATTCCACGAGGAAGGAGGAGTGTTCAAACTGTTGGTGAGTAAAAGAATTTATTGTAAAAACAAGTTTTCACATATTCATTATTTCTTTGGTTTAACTTCCCTCCTCTATTATAGTCATTCTCCGTGTGAAGCTATTTGAGAGCGAGAATTAACTCTGTCTTGTTTTTCTCAAGGGAATGTAAGTGTTAAACACCGGGCCTGCATTTTAGGGGTAGATACTGTACATAGTAGGGATTCCTTCCTGGCTTACTCAGCCTTTCAGTCTCCTCCTAATCTGCCCCTCCCTGTTGTCAGATCATCGACTCCATCATGGCCCTGTTTAGAGTCGACTTCTCTGGCCGAGGCGAGCTGGCTGAGCGGCAGCAAAAACTGGCCCAGATGCTCTCCAGACTGCAGAAGATCTCCGAAGGTCTGAACCAGGACTGTGCTTATGTGCATTCATGTGAACGCCACAAACATCAGCTGTATATCTTGTCTGGCACGAGTTGTTCTCAAATATGCAGAAAAGTATGAAAGAGTAATGTTCCTAATAAAGACTATTATTTTAGTATTTTGCCCTTGTATCTTTTTATTGTTTTTCTTAGAGTACAACGTAGCAGTGTTTGTCACCAACCAAATGACTGCTGATCCCGGCGCAGGAATGACGTAAGAGATGGAAAAATTCCCTCATTCTGAATAAATCTGACAAGTTTTTTGCTAGAAATTCTGTTTTGTTGATGAAATATTGTTGCACAATATTGTTTGAAACTGATGAGATGTTTTTTTTCTTTTTCTTATTTCTTCCTTGTTCCTGTTTTAGGTTTCAAGCTGATCCCAAGAAGCCAATCGGTGGGCATATCCTGGCCCACGCCTCCACCACACGGATCAGCTTGAGGAAGGGGCGCGGAGAGCTGAGAATCGCCAAAATATTTGACAGGTAGTCAGCAGTTTTTGTTTATAATAGCCTTTTGTATGACACAAAGCTGAACACTAGAGGATGTGAGCCACAAATGACAGTTGAAGTTTTACTTCCTGTTACCATGTTGTCAGATGACATAAACATTAGCCAAACAAACTGGAAAATTAGATGTTGCGATATCACAACAAGGTCATGTGCCTGTCGTTACATTTTTATTTTCTCATATGACCAAGGTCAAGGCCTGAAAGGATCTTGGCCATAGTTTAACATCGATTTTTGTGTGTCCTAATGTAATATTTTAACGATTAAAGTATTAAATGCAATTTTTCTTTAAACAAATCTTTGATGGGATGATTTGACACAATGGTGGGCATGCAGTACATAGTGTAGTAGTGGCTTTACAGTATGTGGATTTTAAATTAACTGGCAGGAGAAGCTGTGCAAAATGTATAAAAACAAACCAAAGAAAAATGTTCTGGGCTATATGAGCAAAGTGGTTGCTTAGACTGGACTGTTTAATGTGGCCTGAGACGACTTATTGACCCAGACATGGACTTTAATTTGAACAATGAAAACACTTGGGACTCACATTGGCCCTACTCATTTATCTCTCCTCCTTCTAGTCCCGATATGCCTGAGAACGAGGCCACTTTTGCCATCTCTGCTGGAGGAGTTACTGATGCCAAAGAGTGAAGAATAAAAGGAAGAGAGACACATGTTATCACTGTTCCCTGATCCTGTCAATTTAAAGTTATTTCAGGTATTTTTAATGAATGTATTTATTGAGTTTTACAACTTTATGTAACTTAAACTTACACTAACAACTTTGCACTTTTGATGTATTTATTCTATTTATACACTTTAAGGTATTTCCCCCCTGTGTTTCAAAGATGTTAAAATAAAGAACAAAAAAGCAGACAACCGTGTGTTATCTACTTTGTATAGTTTGTCCTGATGAAAGTGAGGTTGTTCGTATTATCTGCAGAGATAAGGAGAAATGTAAAGTTGGTGTTAACATGAAGGCACGGTGAGCCGCAGTCCGGTGCTGGCCTCTAGCGGTGTTTGCGGGACGTGCAGCGGCTGTACACCACTTCTCGTCAGATACGGGATCCATATGCTTGCCAAAGCAAGGCTTAACAAAGCAATGGGAACTTCACCAAACGTGCTGCTAAGAGTCTAAAACACACCAGCAACTCAACGCGTTTTAACAGAACCGTAAAAGTCACCCACCTTCCCCGCTAGTGGAAGGCTTGTCAACTCTGGAAAAAGGAGCAATGGACCCGAGAGACACAGCCCCGGATTCGTGGGAGCTGGAGGAGGATGCCGAGGCCCCGGCTGCCGCGGCGGGGCTCCCGACAGCCTTCGCCGCCCTCAACGTCAACGCCAAGCCGTTCGTCCCCAACGTTAACGCCCCGGTGTTTGTGCCGAGCTTCCTTCAAGCCACCGCCATGGAAGTGCCTGCTTCAGACGGTATGTGAATGCCACACAGCTGGCTGGAAGTTAGCTTAACTTGCTAGCTTGCTTGCTAACCCAGCTAAGTTAGCCTTCCTGGCTGCAACTCGCTGTGCTCAGTGCAGCCTGTGCCACAGTTACCGCTTCTCCACTTAACTAATCAACAAGTCGGCTTGAGTGTTAGTCATGTGTTGTGACAGTGCAGTAGCTTATTTATAACGCTGTAACACTCACCGCAAAACGTGACCATCCTTGTCTAATTAATATTTATGAAAGTTTGACATGCTGTGTTTTCTCTCCTCAAAGGTGCCCCTGATCCAGTTGCCAGCATGGAGGTGGCAGAAACAGTCGGTATGCACCCACTGTGTACTCCTGCATGTTCACGTTACTAATCTGGCTGCCACGGGACAGGTGTGGTTATAGGCTCAGGTGTGCACATATACCTGCAGCCAGATTTGAGATCTCAGACAACCCTCATGCACACTAGGAAAATATGGATGCTCAGGTTTGAGTCCCTGCTTGTAGGCCCAATAACTGAGCCATATTTGGATTGCTGGCATGGGTGAACCCATGTGCACGGGCCTACGTATGACATGATGCAACCTCACTTGTCCATGCCTGAAATAGACGTCCCATTGGCTCAAGCTGTGATATGTGTCAAGCGCTTCATGTCCAAGGCCTTGGTCCTGCTGTGCGTCAGAGCAATTTGAATGTATTTGATTACGCCAGAAAAAACTTTGTGCTGACGAGTTTTTAATTTGCCTTGAGTCCGATTCATTCACATATTTTGGCCTGACCCTGGATGCTGTGTGCCTCTACTCTACTCACAGGCTGAGCAGCTGTAGCAGAGTTACTGAAGAAGGGAGGCAAAACAAAAACACTTTCATTTTCACATTTCCTACAGACTATTCCTATTCATGGAGATGCTTGCCTCTTTAGATTGCTCTGAACATGTATGAAAGACAAATTCTAATTTCAGCACGGTGAGAATGTTGACAAAGTCGAGGCAGGAACGTCTCTCTCTGTCTCTCTGTCTCTCTCTGAGTTGCCAGCAGCAATATCACACAGGCTGATTATAAACGACGAGGGTTGAGAAGAAAATAGGCATTGTACATGACTGCTGGGCTGCATAATTTCATAGTTACGGAAATGGGAGGCGTATTTGTGTGTTGCCATGGGAAGATGCTTCTTCTGCAGGCCTCAGCAGATTTCAGTGTACTCTTGTAATAGTATTTTATTTGGTTTTTTTTGTTTTTTTTTTCACATTGCTCAGCAGAACGTTGCATCGGTGGTGTTTCTAATAAATGAACAGGACTAATGAGCGAGGAACCGCCGGCCACACACAGTGAAGCCCTGCAACTCTTTTTAGACGATCTGTGAAGGCAAATTAATTTTATGAGCGTGTGCTATGCTTGAGGTCTTTATACAGCACATATTGCATTATGTAGATTCAAGGCCCATTAGTAGTTTGTGCACATGGAAATCTGATAGCACTGCCATTTTACAGCAGTTCAGATTTTGATTTCTGTTACAGGTTCAGTGTGTAACATTTAGGAGACTCTATGAGTCTCTCTGACACACTTCACAGCTCATTCCCAGGTCGTCAAATATAGATGTGAGCAGTGTTCAGTTAGTTGCAGTCTGCAACTTCACCGACGCGCTGCTCCTTTAAGTCCTAGAAATATCCACACTAGGACACGATCGACAGTTGACCTTGGGGTGGAAAACCAAAGAGGGTTGGGAAGCTGTTGGCAGCATTTATTTGCACCAAATATAAAGTTTGCACATATTTTCTTTGCTGTAGATATTGTGTTTTTGATATTTAGATATTTTATTATGTCAAGCACACAGGGCAACAAAGCATTTCCCTGCACAGTGTAGAGATATGTTGAACGTGTGACAAATAAAAACTTATTTGTATCATTACATAACTATACCTGCATAATACACACTAATATGTGTTAGAGATCCAAATGAAGTGCAGTGCAGTTCTGTCTTTGAAGTTGGAAGTGTTTCTGTATGTCTTAAGTATGCAAGAGGGGAACTCCTTCCAAATTATTTTACAAATGCTGTAAGAAAGATTTAAGTTTGGTATAAACATAAAACTGGCAGAAATGTCGCAACTTGAATGAAGTCCATGATTCAGAATAAATCAGGATTTACTCATGGCTAGTCTGCAGGTTTTTAAGCCTAAAAGCATGTGATATCATTAAATAGTTCCTCCTCCTCCCAAGCTGTGGGTTGTCTGTAGCATCCAGACTTTACAGAGAAATAACAGGTGGACTAAATGTCTATGGTTCCAGCTCCGGTGGAGAATGGAAGCACAGAGGCAGACATGACCACAGAGGAAGAGACGTGGGAGCAGAAGGAGGAGCCGGGGGGAGGTGGAGGAGGCGGAGGAGAGGAGGACCTGAGCTCAGGGGGAGCCTGTGAGGAGGGCGCCACAAGGAAAGAGGATGAGGAGATGATGGAGGAGGAAGAGGAGGAGATGCCCATGCCCAAAGTGGCTCCGGCACCACCGGATGCCCCCAAGAAAGAACATGTGAACGTGGTCTTCATCGGTCACGTAGGTGAGTATCATTTTTATGTGTGTGTATATTATTTTATCTATAGGTAAGATTATAGAAAGGCCTACTCATAATGTTTATACCTGTTTTTGCCTGTCAGATGCTGGTAAATCAACTATTGGAGGACAGATCATGTGAGTATTGATTATTATTATGTGTTGGTTGATCACAGTACTGCAGTGAGTGCAATATGAAGTGCTTATATTCCTCTTTAACCTGGTATTGTGTTCCTTTTAATTTAACTTGAACTGTTCAATCCCAGAAAATGAAAAACAAAAATGTTTATTGTTGAGAAACATGTTTGCGCACTGTATTGCGTAATCAGCAGCAGCTGCAGTACAATGCCTCTATGGCTGCCAGCTACAGTGCAACAGGTTGCCTCTTGCTCAAAGGTATTTTCAGTTTGAACCTCGGCTTCACTTTTGCTTTTATAATGCTACGGATACAATAAATTCGTCATTTTCATGGCTGCCCGCTTTGTCAACTTTCCCTTTCTTTGTGTTGTCCTTGCTAGGTACTTAACTGGAATGGTGGATAAGCGAACCCTGGAAAAATATGAAAGAGAAGCGAAAGAAAAGAACAGGGAGACATGGTGAGAGAGGCTTGTGTATGAGAGCCTTGGTTAACAGCAAATGAACTGTTCTCCACAGCCAGTGATGGCTGGTGTGTCTTTACAGGCATTTCCCCCTCAATGTCTTGTGTTCATTTACATTTTTTCCTCCTCATGTTTAGTATTAATATGTGAATAAATTACTGTAAGCTGCTTAAAATATTTTTATCGTTAGCCTTTAGATGTGTAATCACCATTGGTTTTAATCACAGGAGGCTTGTTTGCCACACGTGCAGTAAAGTCAAGTGCTCGTAACACAGCTTTAAATACATACATAAATTAAAAAATAAACATGGTTGTTGCAGGTACCTGTCGTGGGCTCTGGATACAAACCAGGAGGAGAGAGACAAGGGGAAGACGGTCGAGGTCGGGAGAGCTTACTTTGAGACTGAGAAAAAACATTTCACCATCCTGGATGCCCCTGGACACAAGAGCTTCGTCCCCAACATGATCGGTGGAGCGTCACAAGCCGACCTGGCAGTCCTGGTGAGATGGACATGCAGCCAAAGCTAAAGCTAACTAGCCCTTAACCTTAAACACAAACAGATTAAAACCTGTACTGCTTTTTCTAAATTATTAGACTAATTACTAAAATGTTGGAATTACTTCCACCTCCCTCATTTGTTTGTATCAGGTGATTTCAGCGAGGAAGGGGGAGTTTGAGACCGGCTTTGAGAAAGGTGGACAGACGCGGGAACATGCAATGCTGGCTAAAACAGCCGGAGTCAAGCATCTCATTGTCCTGATCAACAAGATGGATGACCCAACTGTCAACTGGAGCCTAGAGAGGTGAGCAATGACTGGGTGAAAACAGATAGGACGTGTTTGTGTCGGCTTTAATGCTTTCTAGAGCTAAAATAGTCAGTAAGACGACTAATTGGCGCCAAAACATTGTCTATCAGTGAATTAATAGCATTGGCCTCAGTTTTATGGGTCTCACATGACTTCTCCTTTAGTAGAAATCCATGCATATTTCAATAAATAATGATATTAATAACAATGTCACCTTTTTATTACTTTCCTGCAGGTATGAAGAGTGTAAGGAAAAACTGGTGCCATTTTTAAAGAAGGTGGGCTTCAACCCCAAGAAGGACATACACTTTATGCCTTGCTCCGGACTCACAGGTGCCAACCTTAAGGACCCCGTAACTGAATGCCCCTGGTACACGTAAGTCGGCTCTGTGAATGGGCTTCTACGGTAGTGCAGTATGTAGTATCGTCATGTCGTTTGGTGCGCAGTCATCTTCGTAAGCCTTTTATTTAACCACTGTCTAAACACAGCTGTACACACTCAACCTACTTGCTTGATGATTTATTACATGTTGACAAAATCCTCACGTCTTGGTACTCTTTGTACGTGTTTGCATGAAGTTATATTTCAGTACAGTGAGGATACCTGGTTCACCTGCCAGCAGTTTCTGTTGCTTCAGTGCCGCATCACTGTTACCTTTATTTTCTGGCACAGTTTTACTAACGTCTCCCAGAGGTGATCAAAAAGCTCTGGTGGGCCTTTAGTGCGCATTAGTGACACTTACATAATCTGATTTAAAGTAGTGCCCTTCTTGGCATCTCCATTTGTAATGGAACATATTTTTAAGGGTTGCAGCTCTATACAGTAGAAACTGCTTCTTCAACACATGCTTATTCTTTCTGGTGGTCATGGTAAACAAGTCCACCAAAGAATCCCACATGCCTCCTTTCTCCATCTGCGCCTCACACAGACAGCCATTTTCTCAGGCTACACAGAAAGACCTGCACAGTTTATATTTCAATATTCATTAAATAGATTTTAGTGAAGATTGTGTTGATATTGTACACACTCTCACAGAAAAGGATTGAGCAGATTTGTTCACTGTGTCTCCTGTGGTTGTATTTTTTCCCCCACTTGTTTTGGTTGATGCATCGGTTTGTGTGGAGTCTGGCTGCAGTATCTTCTGTATGCTCAGCTGTGGTTTGATCAAAAATCGAGGCCATGGCAGGACACAGTAGCTGCACTCATGAATACTACTCTGACCACGGAAATAAAATGTGAACGAGTGGGGTTTGTATGACTGTGTTGATCGATGTTTTCCCTGTTTGTTCTTTACCAGGGGTTTGCCATTTATTGACCATCTGGACAGTTTGCCAAACTTCACCAGATCCAGCGATGGACCAGTCAGATTACCTATCGTAGACAAGTACAAGGTGAGCAGCTGGAGGCCATTGATTCTCTCTCCAAACAGAGAAAAACAGAAATGTGTGGCAGCTTGTCCTAAGCCGATGAGTGGGCGTAAAATTTCTTTTGGGTTTTGTTCACTTGGCCGAAATCTTTTCTTTTGCTCCCTCTCCTTCCTGTCGGGTGATTTTCCAAGAGCACACCAGCGTGCTTCCACACACTGCAGCCTCTGCATAGTCATTCCTCTTTAAGATAATTCAGCTTCTTGGCACTCGCCTCAGTTTAGATATTGGATGCAGTTCAGCACATGAGTGTTGGTGGAATTGAGTTATTTTGAAGCTCTCTCAGTTGCCCCTACATTAATCATCGTCTCTTTCCTTTCTTCCCATCACATGTCAGCTTTTCTCTTTATCCTCTTGTCTTTAAGTTGTTTAATTACTCTCTTGCTGTGATTGCATAAGAGCCTTATACAGTGGTTATATGATTAAATAGTCCCAACTGGTGTTCTCCTGATGTAAGGGGATTGTGGTTCAGTTAACTGGGTGCTGCATACTAATGGGACAGCCAAGTCACCATACAGCAGGCTGTATGCAGATCCACACAACTGTGGATAAAACAATTATTATTATTTTGTTGGGCACTGAAAATCAGGATTGTCAACCATGATTATTAATTCATTTTTACGTGCCAGCAGAAGCTCATCGTATTTTGCAATACATTGGTTATGCCTGTCATAATGCTATATCGTTTTGAATGAACGTAGCTAAGCAGCCTCTGGTGGTAACTTTAGATTATTTATCATATAGACATGAGAGTGGCGTCAATCTCATCATCTAACTCTTGTTATGAAAGGAAATAAGCGCATGTTTATTATTGTTCTTTTTATATATTGTTTTATCTCTCTACTACATTTGATGGTTGAAATCTCTGTTATTTTATTTTCCTCTGAATTTTTGGTTTTATATAGTATATTTGCATGTATTGTATTTTGTGAAGCACCTTGTAAGTCTGGTTTTGATATGCACTATGGAAGTAAGGTTTATTATTATTTATATGGTTTCACTGTTTGACACATTCTTTCATTGAAAAATAGCTTTAAAAAACATATGAAGGAAAGCTTATTGTCCTTGTTTCAGCTGCAGTGACTTTTTAATGATTTATTCATAAGCCAAATAATCATTTACCCTATAAAAGTAATGACTAATGTAATGCATCCAAGGTCACTGATAGCTGCATTGATCCTTCTCAACATGTATGCGTGTGCTTGCAGGACATGGGTACAGTTATCCTCGGGAAGCTGGAGTCTGGATCCATCAGTAAAGCCCAGCAGCTGGTCATGATGCCAAACAGGGTGAGATTGCCTCTGTATGACTTTGCTCCTTCTCACAAGGGACCAATAAACCTTCTACTAGAAATAACTTCAAGGCCTCGTTCTTGTATTAAATGTTCTGCAGCCTAGATGGAAAGAAGAGCTTGTAACCAAAAGGATTTAGTTTCGGCTCTAACACCAGCCACCTGTGTCAGTACAGTAATAATGTATTTGTTTAAAGCCTACATTTGAAATATTTACAACTAGCCGTGTGTGTGTGTGTGTGTGTGTTGTAGCACACAGTGGAGGTATTGAGCCTGCTGAGTGACGACGTGGAGACAGACGATGCCACTCCTGGGGAGAATCTGAAGTTAAGGCTGAAGGGAATCGAGGAGGAAGAAATCCTTCCGGGTTTTATCCTCTGCAGCCCTGACAACCTCTGCCACTCCGGTCGCACCTTTGATGCACAGGTAATGACGAGAGATGGCTTTCAGAGTTATTAGTTGTGGTTGTCAAAGTCTTCAGGTTGAAGGTTCAGGCAGCTACAGGTTTGATTAGCTCACATTTATTCCAGTTGATGCTAACAATAAACTCCCCACATACATGCATTATTAATATGTCAAACCAACTGACTGTAATTTCCAGTTTTAAAATCTCTCAAACTTTGCATGTTGCTCATTTCAGATCGTCATCATTGAGCACAAATCAATCATTTGTCCTGGTTACAATGCAGTGCTTCACATCCACACCTGCATTGAAGAAGTGCAAATCTCAGTAAGTCGCAACTCTACTTTCCAAGCTGTTTGTTTTTTATTATTGATTGTATTTGCTCAGCCAGTATTTGTTTTTGAGTCACCTCCTGGCCTCAGTGTTCAACTCAGAGCTATAAATTCTGACTGCAGGCCTTAATCTGTCTGGTGGACAAGAAGACGGGGGAGAAAAGCAAAACACGACCACGCTTTGTTAAGCAGGACCAGGTTTGTATCGCCAGGCTCCGGGCAGCAGGAGTCATCTGCTTAGAGACCTTCAAAGACTTCCCTCAGATGGGACGATTCACACTGCGAGACGAAGGTAAAGACCTTTTGTGTTTGTAAGAGAGTCTCAGTATTCATATTCTATTTTGCATGACTTGTTTATGACACAGATGTTACAGCAAAGATAATACATTGTGAATATTTGTGCATTTTTCATAACAATATGAACAGAAGTCCTGAAGCATAATTTTGTCCCTCACTTCCTCCACTAGGCAAAACCATCGCCATTGGCAAAGTGCTGAAGCTGGTGCCAGAAAAGGACTAAATGCAACAGTGGCAGCATGCATGGAGTTCTTCCACTCGTTACCAGAGGAGAAACGCTGCTAGAGCCAACCCAAACAGCTACTCTCTCTTTACACACAACTATGCTGAAGAGAAGAACAGTGACAACAAGGAGCGAAGAAAGAGAATAAAATTGCGTCAAATGAAGAAAACAAGACTGAATCAGTTTTTATGATGAACAATATAAAATGAGAGACCAAGTCCAGTGTGTCAGCTTTCTCATATTGAGAGCTCAGCTATGCCACTAATGTAGCTACATGTCCCCCTTCTGTACTCCCACGGCTAACCGCACTGTCGGCTGGCCACGCCATTTGTTTTTAGAATGGAGATGGATGCAGTGTTACTGAGATTGGGGAGGAAAAAACAAAAACTACAGAATTATTTCATATCCTGCAAAAGACCAGAGTTAGCCTGTAATTAAAATTTGCAAAGTACACCTCCCTTTTTAAGAGTGGGATTAAGAATCCAATGGACATTTTATTTGGTTTTAAGGATTGCTGTACCAAAATTTTTAGTTTGGTCTCTCTCCACATGAGATGGTTTAATTGGATTGAGCTCATTTACTAGTCTGATGAACCATGGATAAACACTCACACAAACAGACACACACAACTGTTACATAATCTAAACTGAAAATAAATGATCAAGCTGCAACGGAAAGGTCTATTTGTTTTCCTTTTAATGAGTATTCCCATTTTGAATGGAGAAAACAATATCCAATGCATTAATGCAACACCAATTCCTTATTTTATTTGGAATATTAATAGCAACAAAATAGCAATACTACAATATGGTTCATATCCTTTGCTGATTTATACATTGTGATATTAGTATCATTTTATGTACTTCTGACTTGCCTCTATAAAAGTTCAGACTAAAAAGCTGATATTTATTGACCCTTTTGGGCTGCCATACTTTAATAATTTATTTTAGTATTTTATTAAACCTTCTGGTTCAGACTTTCACATTACTAAAAGGTCTGTATCCACACTTTTAACTTCAGTTCATGTCGAGAGGCCACTTTCCTTCCGTCACTGTTCACAGTTGGCGTACAAATAAAGTTTGTTTGGTATTTTGTGACGTAGACTACCAACTGCGCATGCGTGGCTTCAGCACACACGTGAAGCAGACAGCATGGCGGAGGATAGAGGAGTAGTGTTGGACCGGGCTCAGGTAAAAACTGCAGTATATTAAGCTCTTTATAAGTAGTATGTCAGTTAATAGTAGTTAATATAACGTTAATTGTGTTCAAGTATATTGTTATGAGTCGACAGCAGCTGGAAGCTAACTAGCGTGTGTGCTTGCTGACTGGTTTAGCAGCGAAGCTAATTCACAACGGCACCGTAACAAGTTTAAATAACTACAAAACTGGAGTTTGTTTAGTCTTTCATAACGCTGGGTCTAATTTCTCTGCCAGGTGAAAAAGGCTGTCCAAGCCTTGCAGGCTTTCCTGAAATCCAAGTCGACCAAGGACTCCCTCTTTCTGGACGAGACTCAGCAGATCAGCCTGCTCTTCACCCTCTGGAAGGTCCCCAAAAAGGCACAGACCATCCGCATGTGAGTCCACCATACGGGAGCATGAGGCTGGCTACATACCCGTACTGTAGTTCTTCTCCAGCAGTTATTGGTTTTCATTGATTGATTGATTGATGTTTCTTTCCACCCGCAGTCCCTTGCCCCATGGCCAGCGGCCGGACACAGACGAGGTTTGCCTCTTCACCAGAGATGAGCCCAAAATGACCTCAGAACAAACCCAGAGGTTTTATAAGAAGCTGCTGGAGGAGAAGGGAGTCAAAAACATCTCTGAGGTATCTACCAGTCAGAGTTATAACACGCATATAGCTCAGCATGGAGAAATGTACAGTGGAGTGTCATAAATATTATATAATGATAGCAAAGTTGGTCTTAAATCTTACAAACCACTTGTGTTTTACCAGCCGACAAGGTTTTTGGTTTACATTAAGACTTCCTGTTGATGTGTCTGTGTGTCCGGCGCAGATCATCCCCTACAAGGCCCTGAGGACAGAGTACAAACCGTATGAAGCCAAACGGCGTCTGCTGGGGAACTTCGACTTGTTCCTCTCCGACGACCGCGTCCGCCGCCTGCTGCCATCCCACCTCGGAAAACATTTCTACGAGAGGAAAAAGTAAGACCTTTCCCTTAGTGTTGTCATAGTTTTATGTTAAATCCCTAATATCTTCAGTACAGTACCACAGAAAACAGGAGTTTTGCTGTTTGTTGGGTCTTAAAACACCAATGGTACAGTCAGTTTAAAAAAAAAAAGATTTTTTTATTGGTGATATACATTATACATTGGTGACATGTGAATACTGTGCAACATTAAACTGAATACACAAGACAAAACATGAAACAATTAGAACATTGTGAACAGTAAGGGTGGGTGTAACATTATGGGCATCAGTGTCTGTGGGAGAATAGAGAAGAGGAATAACTATTAAAAGTGAAAAAGAAGTACATTATATATTATAATATAATTCTTATCCCAATAATTGTGTCGTATTAAACAAATAACCAAATAAGTAAAGTGTAATAAAACAAAACGTGTTTTCCCCAGTAAAGCAATTAGATTTGCTTTTGAGACACACTGGACTGTGTCATATTGCAGGTGTGTTCTTCTTAATGTTGTTGTGCTGCAGTCTGATTTCAAAAGACTAACGTTTCTTTGTGTCCCATTTACACACTTATAGCCTATAGGGGTGAGATTAAAGTGGTATTTTTGCTTGTGAAACACAGTGACACTATACATTAGATTTGCACATTGGTATTGGAAATTTATGTTTCTATGATTATAATAATTGTTGGAATTATTGGTTATTAACAATGCACAATGGCTGGCATCTTAGGGCTTAAATAAGGAGGCAAAGAGCCGTAATATTTAGGATTAACCTTTCATCCTATTTTCATGTCATATTTATGTGTCGGTAAGACTGCTCATGGGTTTTCTGTGAAAAGGCAGCTGTTTGAAGTGCATTCTGGGAATAAAATGCAAGGAAATAGGATTAAAAAAAAACAAACAACTGAATACAGCAACCTTTTGTTCTACAAGGTGAATTCTTAATGGCTAATGTGTAATTAAAAACATAAACTTCATATATAGAAAAAGTGAAAATACAGCAAAATGTATCTTAATTGCTGCCTCTTTTTTCTACAAGTCTGCATATTTATCTACTTTAAACATCTGGGATTTTTGTGGTTCTGTAGCTGCAGTTGATGCATTTTTACCCCGTTTCTGTCCTTACTAGAGAGCCACTGTCTGTGAACCTACAGAGCAAACATCTGGCCAGGGACATCCAGAGGGTCATCCAGGGCACCAGCTTGAAGGTTAACAACAAGGGCTGCTGCTGGTGAGATTAACTCTACTGCTCTATCTGTTCCTAAATAACCTGAAACTGTTTTATTCTGTGAAACCAACCAGTCTTTAGTATGGCCTCAACAAGGGGTCAAACAAATGTTTTCATGTCTTGTTGTGATATGAATAGCACCTCTCAGCAACCCTGTCGATTCTGTTCAGTGTTTGATGCGGGCAGTAGTTGGTGCTACAGAGATTCAATGTAAATCCAGATGGACCTCCTCTTCCTATGGAGCCTGTCTCTACAACTTTGATACACAATATGTTATGTCACGTGTCATGTGAAACTCAAAAATAAATGCATTTGTATTACCTGTACTGATGCTGTTTATAGCGTTTCCTTTGCCTCACATAACTGGCCTGTATTACAGCATGGCACGTGTTGGCCACTCCGCCATGACTGCAGACGAGGTGGCAGAAAACATCGAGGCTGCTGTCCAAACAGTGGCTGCCAAACTACGTACGGTGAGTGTTGCTGCCCAGAGAATTGCCCGGTTGTTTTAGTTGAGTTGGTTGTGCAAGTCTGACAGATTCACCAAGGGTTAAAGGCCCAGTGTGTAACATTCAGGAGGATCTGTTGAAAGAAATAAAATGTGTATATATTTGCAGGTATGTTTTCGTGTAATCATCTGAAAATAAGAATTGAAAATTAAAATAACTAACTTATATTTGCATTACCTGTTTACAGAAAGGACCGGTGATGAAGCTCATCCATATAAAGAGTCAAACGTCAGTGGCCCTGCCCATCTACACCTCAGAGCTGAGCCACCTCAGCGTGCTGGAGGAGGCAGAGAAAGTTAGTTCGTACTCAGCAATTTCTGTGTCTGAGCCGGATTTATTGAAACGATGTATCAAATAACCAGCTCATCTGTTTGTGAATTTCAGGGAGCTGCAGCCAAAAAGAAGGCAAAGAAGAACAAGACAGAGGACACAAAGCAAACAGATACCACTGTAGAGGGAAAGGAGAAAAAGGCAGAGGAAGAACAGAACGAAGAAATCCCACAGCTGGTTCCCATAGCAACACCCATCAAAAAGCCTAAACTGGAGGTCAGTGCTACTCACAGCTGCTAGATTTAACACTTTCAGCAATTGAAATATGTCAGCTGTCAGCAGTGCTGTGTCTTCATTGTGTGGACTGCAGACTCTCATTGTCTTTCTTTCTCGTAGAAGCCAGCCAAGAAGAAGCAGCTGGAGAAAGCACCCAAACCTGCTGCAGCGAAGAAGGGGAACAAAGCTCCGAGCAAACTGACCAAGAAAGCCGGAAAGGCCGACTCCAAAGTAAAAAGAAAAGTGCCTAAAGTGAAATGATTCTCAGCAGAGCATCTTTGCACATTACCCCCCCAACATGGACATTTTACACAGTACACAGGACCATAATGTTCACAGAATGGTCAACATATTCAGTCTGTTATTTTTCTTGTTTTTTTGGTTGGCAGATTATAAACTTTGTTATCTGAAATCATCTCTGGCTTTGTTGTGTTTTCTAAATGCTTTGTAACAATAGGCACAGCAGATACATTAATTACAGCTTTAAAGGTCCAGCGTGTAATATTGGCCTATTGGCACATTTGCAATATGATATTAATTGGTAGTAGCCCACACATCACAACACTAGTTAATATTAATGGAAATATAATTGTAACCCAATCACTGCGCATTGTGAAACTGTTAAAAAAACGTCTTCCTCTTCACTCACCTATAGTAAACAATCACCCTTTTCTACAATCTTTATTAGACAAAAGCTTCAAATTTGATGTAAGGGTTTATGTAGCATCAGAAAGTTGTATATTGATAACACTTTGCCAGCTGTGAACAATGAAATACAAAATTACTAATCACCTTACGAATGAGGTACTTTGTACACAATAAGCTTGCTGATTTTCCAACTATCACATTATCTTGCCTAGGTCAATATACTAAATAAGTGTATGGCCTCAATAATTTTATCTATGATCATCGATACGTAGAATCCCTTTGTATCTCATATTTGAGAACAATGGGAAAGATTATCTAGGGGACCTGAGTAGGAATGGGACATCCCTCTAGGGTTCATTCCTCTTCTACCTGCCTTAATACAGTTTAAAGTGCTACGTCAGCTACACTCCTCTTAAGCTGAACATGCAAGAATATTCTCAAACCTAAGCTCTGTGTGTGACAGGTGCAAACCCCAGTGACCATATACCACATATTGTGGTCTTGCCCAAAACTTGTCCTTTTCTCGACATCCTTTTTTGATACCATGCCCAATACTGGCTGTAATATGATGCCTTCTCCTACTATTGCTATTTTGGTATATTCTCATTTTCAGATGATTCTAGTCTTCCTCCTCACCTACAGAAGGATATTGCCTTTCCCTCTCTATTAGCTAGTTGTTCAATTCTGTTTAAATTGAAGGATATAAACCCTCCCCAACACAATCAGTGGAATAAAGATGGAAAAAATCTGATGCACCCTGTTAGGTTTTTAGTGATCTGTCTGCTTTGGATGCTACTGTTGGTTTAGTTTTTGTTTCCTTCCAGTATTCCCTACCTTTTTGTACATATTTGTACCTGGAGATGATCACTGGTTTTAATGACTTGTCTGATAAATGGAGAAAATCAAATGAAATAGACTTATAAAGGTTTATGTCTGCTTGGCTATATTTATATATAATAAAAATTGTGTTTTATTTACTGTTTTGCTTACTTCTGTCTGAACGGGAATTGTAGTTCTGCAGGAAATCTAATTCTCAATTTAACATGTGAAAATGTTACTTTTCTTAAATTTTTAACAATCACTCTATCTGACATCCTATATTAAATTTTAGGGTAGATATGCAAAGATACATTCAGGAAAAACAATTTATGTCACAATGGAAGAGATAATACAGCTCTATTTAATCGTCACTGATTCAAACAAAGTTAAACTAACACCCAGTATGATGCTCCATGAATGCATTTCTCAAAATGGGAGTCAACACAACATGACTTTGCAGAATGACTCAGTGAACATAAATAGACAGACAATTATGTAGTTTTTAGCTTTTGTGAGTGAAAAATGTTTGCACCCTCTAGTTTAGGTTTTCTAAACAGTTAATTTAACTGTTCTGCCTATTTGCGTCTGTCACACTCGGTTTAAAGTTCACCCGAGAGGATTACCATCGGGTTGTACAGAATATTTTATGTTTTAATAAACCTTTTGTGTGCTTTAACATCTGAAGTGCATTAACCTTGAGAACTGTTTGCTCACTGTGAGTTTAGCCATCAGAGTTCTGCATGTATAGCAGCCAGCTGTATCAGATGACATGCCTATTGTCTATGAGATTATACTGGGACTTGTACAGCTGCTGCTCGCGTGCAATAATGCTACATGGGCACAATTACTTCCCATATGAGGTATTGCATTTTCAACACCTTTATGTCCATTATATTGAAGAACTATTGTTCTACACATGAGCTGATCTGTGACACTAAAAAATTAATTTTCCACATTTCAATAGACAGTATATATTTGTTTTGGAGGAACAAGATGATCACTAAGTGGCCAGCCAATCGGTGGTGATGAAATTGTTGTCAACAGGTGGGATGGGTCTGTCTATTCATCCAAGCCCTCCCTCTGCTGTGTGGGTGTGGTGGGCCATCTGGAATTACAGTGTGTTCACGGGTTACTGGGCAGGAGAATGAGAGATGCATCATGCGGACGCTCTCTTATTGATCATACAGACGATATAACTCCTCCATATGACTGTTGGTAGGTAGCTGCATTGATTTCAGCAGGGACTGGCTGAGCAGACAGAACGGCTCAAGACCGAAATTAAGCAGAAAGTTGGGGAGCTACGGATGTTCAGTGGCTGGTGTTTCCATTATTCATGTGTTAAAGGTTCTCAGAGGGGAGAAGAAACAAAGCGGTAACAGGCGTTTCTGTTCTGTGAAGCAACCATGGAAGCAATTGGAGAAACTTCATTTCCAGATGACTCTGGGAGTCAGAGCCTGTGTCCAGACCCTCACGGTGCCGCTGCAGTGGCCCAAGGCTGGGCCTACCTCCACAAACCCATCATTGTGATGGCGATGGGATCTCTGATGTCTGCTGCAGGCGGCCTCCTCTTCCTCCTCCAGTCACTGGGGGTGACTGAAGCATCCAGCTCTGTAGCCTCAGCCTGCCTGTCCATAGGGCTGATGTTTGTTGTGATGGGGCTGGTGTGGATCCCCATACTGAAGGAGAAGCAGAGACGAAAACGGTACAGCCAAGGGGCTTGACCAGAAGATGGAAAGTGGAAACACTATTTTTGTCAGTGATGATGTAACTGCTTCCTTTGAAACATCCAATACAGTCATAGAGCCGGTGTGGTTGTTGCTGATAACCGCTTGTGTACATTGTACTTTGACCAATGTCACTGCAGGTTGTTTCATGTGTTTTTGTCAGACAGTGAGGATTACATTTCACAGTCCTACTTTAGCTAAAAGCACCTGTTCCTCTTTCCACATCTGGATAACCTCTGAGAAAAGGCAGACTGCTCCTGGCACTGGAGGATCTCCACTGCCACCATGTCAACAGCTATACAGGTCGAGCCAGTCATGGAGAGAAGGTATGGAGGAGTTGGCCGCTGCAAGTGCTCATTCTGGTTCGCAGTGGCCCACGACATACTTGGCATCTTCATCATGCTGGTGGGGGTGTTTGGAGGGCTGGTTATCCACGACTTGTTCATCTATGCGGGGGCTATCATCATCTTCCTCAGCCTGATCTGGTGGGTGTTCTGGTACTCCGGGAACATCGATGTGCCACCCGAGGAGCTGGAGGACGACGTGGGCCTGATCAAGCTGAAGAACCGCAGGCTCAGGCAGGTGGCGAGGCGTGTGTCCGACCACCTCTCCAACAGGATCAGGAACTCTTTCAGAAAGAATGGCCGATCCTTTAGAGAGGGCAACAACAGACCTTCAAACACTGATACAGATGTATCACTCTCCACTATCTGTGATAACACCATTGCCTCCTCATCCAAAGAACTTGTAAGAGAGACATTGTCAATATGAAGGAACCCATCACAGACTGTAAATGACACCAAGAGACACTGAACTTGGATCTTTTATATTTGTTTCCTTTGCTCACCTGTTTATTCTGTTGAAAGGGATTTTGTGTTTGCTAACATGCACATGTAATGATTAGACAGCATTGAAGTCTTGTCTAGATAAGATCCACATATTCTTATCTTGCTGATAAGATGTAAACTTTGCACACTATAACACAGTGTTTCAAATAGCTCTGATATTGACCACAGTCATGTTTGGTTGATTCACAGATGATGCACAGTTGGGATGTGCTGGCTCTAAATAGAAAAATAAAAGGTTTAATGAGAGATTTGTTAAGATGAGGCTGAATCATTCTTGGATGATATGTGACCATTTATAGCTGCCTTTCTTTTGTAAAAGAACACAAGTGGAAATGAACCAAATGCAGCCAGAAGGATAAGTTGTGCAGTTTTTACTTATTTATTTTATGTATAAATATATGTATCTGTAAGAATGTTTGTATTTTATTTCAATAAAAACTTTCTATTTGAAATTTAAGACTGATCTCCAACCAGCTTCACACAAAACCACCATCTGTTTCCTAAACACAAGGAATCTTAGAGCTGTCATGTTAAGTTTAATAAATTAAACTAGTCGATGCCACCTGTCTCCAGCTTCGTTCCTAGGAAGTCTCAAGTCTCACTATGTGCCTGTGTATTTTGAATGTATTTAAATATTAGACCATAATTGGCTTTCACAATATTTGCGATGTCACTAATTGTTGCTTGAAGGAGAACATGAGAGAAGTACAGACACAGATAAATCTCTCTCCTCCTGCAAAGGCAGAGGAAAACAGCCCTTTAGTTACAGTGTGTGCACACACACCAATCTGTATCCAACGGAAGTAAACATAAGAGAAACACACTTTTAGTACGGGTGACTTTATTAAGTGTTTGATGAAAATACTCCAACAGATTACTTACTGTTGTTCAATAAAGTTGCTATTCTTCTGTAGTAAAAAAAAATGACACCTCCCTAAAAAATATTTGACTAGCTACCAAAAAAGCTGTAAAATGTCAAACCCTAACCCACATTTCTTTTAGTAATTTAACTGTTCAATCATAATTTCTGTGAAATGTGTCTCCCTGCATGTTAAGTAAAGGCTGTTTCATAGCCATCTCCTCCTGCTGCCAGGAATACCATTCTGGTGGAGAAATAAATCTCTTTATGTAATAAATATACTGAACTCTCTAAAATGTATCCTGCCCTCTACTCATGCATCATTGCTGACATTTCTTTGAATATTATACATACACTCGTAGTAGTGTAGTACATAAATAATTCTATATGTGTGAAATAAAGACTTTAGTGACTCTTCCTTGGTTTTTCTCTGGTTTAGACAATGATTTACCATTATGAATTGCTTTCAAAGACCCACAACAGCAGGAGTTCACATTTACAGTATGTGCTTTGAATGTGTAAATCCCTTGGCATATGAACAGAGACAGGACAAATCAAAGCAAAGCACAGCTCGTATGAAATTATCATCTTACAGACTTAAAGTGCCAATCATTGTTCAGAGACTTCAGTTCTTTTTCATTTCAACTGTCCAAACTGTTGCAGCAATTAAAGTGTGAGTTGTCTGTAATCCTTTAATAAAACTGCAGCCCATACATCGATATACACAGAGACTAAAACCCAAGATTAGATATGACCGACTTATCAGAGTGCAGATTTCAGCAGGCTGTGGTGAACTTATCAGGGCATCTGATTACCACTGATCAGGTCATGTGATACCCTTAAAATGGCAGCTTAATTGCAATGAAGATAATGAAATGGGCTGGTTCCCCTCACATCCTCTACTGGTAGTACATGCACTGCAAGACTGCAGGAATGGAGGATCTTCCTGAGCCTACAGAAGCATGTGTTTACACCGGAGTCAAAGACAAGAGACTGTCTGGAGCCTTGCTTGTAGCATCACCAAAGCCCTGACTTTAAATCTTAACTGATTAATTTATCGCCATTGAGATTTTTTTAACAAGAATAAGCGTCTAAAGCTACATGCTATTAGCGCTAGTGGCTGTACATGGCACAGTGGTGCTTTCAGGCAAATGGGAATATGAATTAGCAGTGAACACAAGGTACAGTTCAGTGAAATTTGTCCTGATAATGACTCTAGATGAAAAGTCAGGGAATCATCAAAGTGATTACAACTTCCGCCTAATCCGGCCTTCAGAGGCTGATAAGTATCATCTAGAAATAAATATAACACAAAATAAATAGATTAAGAAAAAGGGAAAACCCCTAGTAATATAAATACAAACAACATCTTTCAAATGGATAGCCCTATCTACGCACTTATCTAAATAACTATCAGATTTCAATGTAAATCATTAAAATTGCCAAAGAAAGACAAAACTAGAGTTAAAACCTGTTTAAAGTATTTACAAGCCTTTTAAGCCTTTTTATTGGATGCTGTGAGTAACTTACTTTTAAACTCTAAAGCCTGAATACATGAATGTAGTGTAACTGAGGTTAGCTAGCTAAACAACTAAGACTTCAGTGAATGTTAAATCATTACAATTTGACAGAGGCAGAGATAACCATGCAAAATAATAAACTGAACAAGCCAACTGAATGTGTTTTATTGTTTTGAAGCACGGTTTAGAGATTATTTGCAGTGTCTGAAGAGGACCAAAGGCTGCTGTTAAGAGCAGAGCTCTTTAAAAGTTATAAGGGGTCACTGTCAGGTGATATACCTTATATCTATAAAGGTCAAAAGGATTAGCAACCCTCAAATTTTACAGTATCAGAAAGGTATGACAAGTTTATTTTTAATTTTAAAGCAATATTTAATTTTAGCAGATAGATTAGGTTATAAAAAAGAAAAACCTTATGATATACATAGGTAAGGTCAGTCAGTGGGTTAGACCATCTTAAAGCCCTTTTCTTCTGTTACTTTTGTGTTAGTGAGTTACAGTGACAACCATCTACAAAAAGCAACAGTATATGTAAGGAAATGTAGGTCTTTCAACTCTCTCATCCCCTTTTAGATTTCTGTTGAGTAAATTAGTTGATGAAATATTTATTTTAAAGCCTAACTACATTAATAATGTTAAGTATTCCAACACATTGTCCTCTATGCTCTTGCTTTTTTTAAAGAAAAAACTATAAAAGAAGGAAAGGGCTTCATTCTTTTCATTCAAATCCTTTTAAAATCAACATTTATATCATTCTTCCCATGTCTTTATTAACAATGTCTAATTGAATCTCAGTAAATGAACTGATGAGAACTTGACACTAATTGTCAGAAAATGCAGCTCAGTGTTAGATTATTCAACTTGTGTGTGGACATCAGGAAGGGCTAAGGTTAGGGTGGGTTAGACCCTCCTGAAGCCCTTTCTTTTTGTTACTGAGTCAGTAGAACGAGTTCATCGGCAGAGGGGACAGATGTCTCCACTCTGCCACATCCGCACACTGTTTGGTTTTTCTCTGTTTAATTTCTCTAAACTAGTCATCTAAAGTTTGAAAAAAAGAACATTTATTTAAAAATCTCCACAAAACACTTTAACAATGAGCCTACAAATCAATAAATTCCTACTTTACATTCAAGAACTAAATCTTCTAAAATACAAAATGTGACTTCAGGAGGGTCTACTAGCAATATTCCATTCCAGCTGGTTTTCCTGCCCTACATATGTTAATATAATGACAAATACATTTCCCATGTTGCACCCAGTTTGTTTTGAATGTGATACAATGTTAGACTGATTTCAGCCACAAGAGGTCAGGAGTTCACAGGTCTAAAGTGTGTGTATGATCTTAATGTATTGATGTCACAGTCAGTGCACTCGGCTGTTTTTAGTGGTGAATGTCATCTGGATACTGAGCCATATAACAGAATAAGAGGCTTAACAAGAAGCTCCAAGCATTATCAACCCCAGTGACTGCCACTGATCATCAGCGCTAATGCTCATTTATTGTATTCATCTTAAAGGCACGCTCTTTCTCACCAAAGCACATTTTGTCGGACCTCAATGATACACACATGCTGGTGCACATACGAGTGCGTCCTCTTGCACATGCTGGTAGAGCACAACACACAAAGAAACAAAACAGGAACCCAGTCATCAAAACATTGCCCCATATTTCCACCAGTGATCAAAACCTCCGCAGGGTTCCTGTAATGAAGAAGGATGAAAAAGAAAACTGTGCACTTCTGATCTCTTGTGGCTAAAACTTGCTGCTTTGCTCCCAGAAATGTTCTCACAGATTTATAAGAATGAGACTTTAACGGCTGCATAAGATCAATTTAGATTCAACATCAGGAAACATATATTTAGATGGAACATTGTCAAATGGTGGATGAGGGGTCAACTCTTCTGTTCTCCCTGTGGGTTTCCTCTGGGTGCTCCGGTTTCCTCCTACAGCCCGTACATGCCAGGTAAACTGGTGTGTTTGGTTTGAACTGGTACATTATATTTGAATTTGGCTTATATATCAATAAATATATTGAAGTGGTTGAATTGGAACTATTGTATTTCATTCAGTAATAAGTGCACTCATTATTCACCCATCTTTGCACAGCACATACTGGTCAAAGCCAATGACTACATGTATAAAATAAGTGTTACTAGCTACTGTTGAGAACAGTGTTCGTTTTAAAAGATCAAAACACAGTGTGTGGCAGAACTTCCTGTTATATTCAAACTGCAGCTTATATTTTAACAACCTGCCTGGTGGCTTTTTCCTACATTAACAATTATTAATGAGCAGGTATTATTCACTGTCCTGGTTGGTTTTGAGGTTGTTCTACAGTAACATTAATGTAGACTTTCCCTTTACTCACTGACATTGATGAAATGGAAGTGTTCCTTTGGGCAAAAGTATTTACAAATAAAATAATTTGCACCAATTAAAATAATAATGAAAAAAGCACAAGAAATGTAAGTTTTACTTGACTAGTTAACTACTTAGGAATAAAATGAGCTGACAATGGGTCATTATCTTTATTTCATGTTATTTTGAGGGTAGAAAAGAAGAATTGAAGTTGCAGCACCTAGAATGACTCCATATCTGTTTGGTGCAAAAGCTCAACAAAAGGTGGTATTTGCATTTATCAGTGGATCTCATATATTGTTACACTTTACCTGACCATCTTACCAGACCCAAAGTCAAAAACAAAACAAAACTGAATAACTTTTTAACATTTAATTTAGACACAGGGAATAACTTTCAATCATCAATTCAAGATGCTAATGGTTGTCCAAAGCCTTTAGAACGTATTAGTGCAATGGAGGAAGCAATAAAATCCATAATATGCACTATAAATATTACACACAATGTCTGCATTCAATAATAAAGTCAGATATAGTCAAGAATGTGCACTTGCAAAAGGAGCGGGCGGGGTGTGAAGGGAGCTTTCATGTTATGAAGAGATCTCTTCACAGCCAGTATGGACAGAAGGAACGATCTAGAACTCTTTAAACCTTTCAATCTGGGGATTTAAAAATAGTTTATACTATTTATAACTAACAGGTCCTTATTCTATTGTTACATATGTTACAGTTGAAGCTAGTATGTGTGTTTGTGCAATAATAAGGGGATGGTGGTTTTATAATATACATTGCCCTCTCTTTTGAAAATATTAATGCATTTTACAGTTTATTTTCTATTTTCAAAATTTAAATAAAGGTTTCAAACCACTTCAAAAACAAAATTATCTCCAAAGGTTTAGAGTAATACTCTGAATATTGATAATAGTAATTGATGAATGAACACAAGCAGATTTATAGCAATGACATTAATCAACGGTGAGGTTAAGGGAAAACAGTGGAACAGATCCAGTTATAATTGAATGTTTATGCTGTGGGATGTCCAACTGGTACTCAACCATTTTCAAGGATTCAAGGTTATTTTATTGTGATATAGTTCCCTTTATGCTACTTTAAAAAATCGTTATTTATCATAAAAATA